ATAGTGCCTAAGGCACCTGACTGCTAACCAGAAGGCTGGTGGTTCAAACCCACCAGCCACTCCTTGGAAGGAAGGTTGGGCAATCTACTTCCATATTGATACTGCCTTGGAAACCCATGGAGGGGTTGCTGAGTCGGGTCTGACTTGATGGCACATAACACCACATCTCCTGTATATAGAACTAAGACTGGAAGAATAGTGTCAAGATTATGCAGCGTGTGAAATGGAGTTTGAAGCCATAAACTTCATACTACATTTAACTTGCCAGTGATGCCAGGAAAAATGTATGTTCCAGTGAGCTCAATTTGGGGAACTCTCAATTGGAATCATTTGACAGGTCTGGGAATACAGTGGTAATTGTATAGAGCTTTTTTGAAGACACATTCATAGTGGTAAATAAATGCTGAGAATGTGAAGCAACGTAAGGGCCAAACAATAGCACAGTATGGACAAAATTAGAACACAGGTGAAACCAGCTATAGAAGGAAACTGAATAGATGAAAAATAAACAAATTTGAATGAGTGTTCTGAAAGCAAATACTGAAGTTAAAAAAGGATCACAGGACCTTGTGATTTAAGGCAGTTTTCTCATATTTTTGAAGAAATGTGGGGTGAGTATCCCAATTTAGGAATGAAAGAATATGGTGGTGAAGAAGTTAAAGGGCGCAGCTGCCAAATGAAAAATCTGGTTCAAACCCACTAACCACTCTGCTGGAGAAAGACCTGCAATTTGTTCCCACAGATTCGTCTAGGAAACCCTCTGGGACAGTCCTACTCTGTCCTTTAGGGTTGCTGTTTCCGAACTGACTCAATGGCCCACAACAACATACTTAAGGTGAAACTGTATTTCAAAATACAATGCTAAACAAACACTTAAATATTTTATCTTCCAATGCCATCTCTCTTAATTATATAACCAAATACACGAAGTAACCTACTAAAATTTTCCTCTAGCACTACTGGTGAGAACAAATTAACTTTTTAAAGCAAACATCTTTGGCATATTTACTAGGATATTTAACTGTTGTGTGACAGATTTCTGCTAGAATAGTTACCCCTTATTAGTCACAATTTTTTCCTTCCCTTTTCGGAGATGATTAACACATTGTGACCTCTAAGATGTGCATCCTTTTCCAGCAAATAAAATGGACTTCAAATGAAGTAATGATTGAAAGTTAGTATGGCTCAGCATTTCCACCCCAAAGTTAGAATACCCAGTTGGACCTACTGAACTTGGTTGCGCACTGAGTCCCACCTGGTCAGGGTCCTGACATGTTCAAATGTTTGAAGTTAACACATCAACAGTAAGGCCTAAGGACAGTTTGGTTAATACCTAATAATTACTTAGGAATCTTCTTCAATGAAGACCATGGAGTTAAAAAAAAAAAAAAAAAATCAATGATAACTAAGAAAACTTTCATGGTCTCGTATTACGAGATGTCCACTTCAGTTTTTTTTTTTTTTTTTTAAATAAAGTTAACCCTAACCCAGAGACTTCCCTGATTTTGAAATGTTTTAAAGCCATAAAGAAATCACTAAAATATCTTTCCTTACTGGAAATTAGGTATTCTACTAGCTATACTTTTCTAAATAAAAGTTTTTCATTGTTTTGTGGTTATGGTGGGCGGTATTATTTAAGTGAGATTGTAGCCAAACAATTCTCCACCTTTAGAGAAATTATAAATTGTAAATGGGGCTACATGGGTATGGGTAAAGCCACAATTGGTGCATCCTTAGCAAGACACAAAGTGGAATATTTTCAGGCGAAAATTTAAGTTGTGGGGTCTTTGCTTCTTCTTACTCTTTTGGTTCCCCCGAGATCAACTGATGCATTTTAACTTCAGCAATTCTCTATGAATTAATTACTTAACTAAACAATGACAGCATAAAAACATAGCTTACTATCATGGAGTTTTTTTTTAAATAATCTATCAATATGAATTTCTGGTCTGTGACTGAAGCTGTATCTTCACTGTAACTTGAAACAACAGTTCTGAGTTACTAGATTAAAGAATTGCTTTCTAATGAAAAGTCTAGCACTGTATTCTCAAAGTAGCGGATAAAACCTGGGCAGTCTAATTTCAGTATAATGGAAATGTTTTATCAACAAAGATAATTAAACAAACAACAACAACAAAAAAAAAACAGACAGTAAATATTTAAGAGATTTATTAAAGCATCTTATCACAAAGTTGGAAAATACAAATTAGAAACATGCAACCGTCATCTTACACAGTCAAGTCAAAATGTGATATATTTTTTGTTTCTTCACTGAAAACTTCAGGTCTTATACCCAATTCACTCACTCTAAATATTTTATTCATTCTTCCTGAAAGTATCCAGCGCAGCTAATAACCATAATGCAAACTATTATATAAAGAAAGTGCAAAGTTATAAAAGAAAATATATGGAGAATACTCCCTTCCCGCCCCCCAAATAACAGCCAACAATGGCACTTTATTCCTACCTAACCCAGATTGTCTGCAAAAACTAGTTAAATGTATAGACTTAACAACAATAACAAAAAATTACTTTGAAAAGATGTCCAAAAAGCTCCTTAGTGTTTTGAAAACAAATGCTTAAATGAATAAAATGTATTTTATATCAAATAAGTTTGAAGAGCCCTGTATTGCAGCATTCTGTAAAATAAACAAGACAAAAAGCTGGTATAGGGTTTATTGAAAAGGCAGAATTTCTTCAGGCAGGTATGTAAGGAGGCGGTGGTTCTTTTTCAGGCATCTTCACTGCCATTTCATAAGTTGGCAAAATGTACTAAAAAGAGAAAAATATGTATCAGACTCAATTATCCTTTAAAATTTTCTGAATTATTTCAGCTTTGAGATTTCATATCTTAAATCAGGGTATATAAACATAAATAGAATAGCTGAAGAAACTGTTAGCTAAACGTTCCTGAAAGTAGAGTGGATTGAGCAACATGAAACTTTTCATGCAAGTGAGATATCTGATCCAAGAGTGCTAGGGAACAAATACTAAAACAACAGAAACAAAGGAGATGATAACACAATCCATAAACATAATGAGCTCACAGAAAATTATATGGATCAAAGAAACCAGGGAAAATACCATGAAAAAAACATAACAAAATGACAGCAACCAATTTATATTTGTCAATAATTATACTGAACGTCAATGGATTATATGCACCACTCAAGAGATGGAGAGCTCTCCTTCTTATCCAGCAGACTGGTAAGAAAACACTCCACCCAACCAATATGCTGTCTATAAGAGACACACCTTATAGACACAGACACAAAGAAACTAAAAATCAAAGGTTGGAAAAAGATATATCAAGCAAGTGACAACCAAATAAGAGCAAGAGTGGCAATATTAATTTCTGATAAAACTGACTTTAAGACAAAATCCACCATAAAAGACAAAGGAGGACATCATATAAAGACATCTATTAAAGGACCAACTGAACAAGAAGATATAACCATAATAAATATCTATGGACCCAATGAAAAAGCCCCAAAACATTTAAGTCAGACCTCACAACCCACCAACTTGACCTTACAGACACCTACAGAGCACTTCACTCAACATCACAATATACATTCTTTTCTAGTGCACATGGAACATTTTCCATGGTAGACCATATGTTAAGCCAAAAAGCAAGTCTTGATAAATTGAAAAATACTGAAATACTGCAAAGCATCTTTTCAGATCACAATGCTATCAAATTAGAAATCAACAACAGGAAGATCAATGGAAAAAGGTCAACACGTGGAAACTGAAGAACACCTTCCTTAAGAATGGGTAATAGAAAAAATAAAAAATGAAATTAAAAAATTCCTTGAATCAAACAAAAATGAAAACACAACATACCAAAATCTTTGGGACACAGCAAAAGCAGTGATCAGAGGTCAATTTATAGCAATAAATGCACACATCAAAAAAGAAGAGCAAGCCAAAATCAACACTTTAAACCAACATCGCCAGCGATTAGAAAAAGAACAGCAAGAAAAGCCTACAGTCACCAGAAGGAAATAATAAAGATTCAAGCAGAAATCAACAAAACAGAAAACAGAAAGACAATAGAAAAAAATCAAGAGTGAAAGTTGGTTCTGTGAAAAGAATAATAAAATTGACAAATCACTGGCAAATTTCACAAAGGAAAAGAGGAAAAGAATACAAATAACACAAATAAAAAACAAATTGGGGCAACATCACAACAAAACCAACTGAAATAAAAAGGATATTATCAGGATACTATGAAGAACTATATACAAATCAATCTGAAAATCTGGAAGAAATGGACAGATTTCTAGAAACACACTACTCACCTAAATTAACACAGACTGAGATGGAAAAGGTGAACAGACCCACAACAAAAGAATAAACTGAACAGGTCATAAAAACATTACCAACAAAAAAATATCCTGGCCCAGACCATTTCACTGGAGAATTCTACAAAACATTCAGAGAAGAACTGCACTAATCCTACTCAAACTATTCCAAAACATAGAAAAGGATGGAATTCTCCATAAATCATTTTATGAAGCAAGTATAACCTTGATACCAAAACCAAGCAGACATCACTCAAAAGGAAAACTAGAGATCAATATCCCTCAAATATAGATGCAAAAATCTTCAACAAAATCTTAGCCAATAGATTCCAACAACATATCAAAAACATAGTTCATTATGACCAGGTATGCAAGGATAGTTCAGCATTAGAAAAACAATCAACGTCATCCACCACATAAATCAAACAAAGGGAAAGAACCATGTGATCATATTAGTCAATGCAGAAAAGGCATTTGATAAAATCCAACACCCATTCCTGATCAAAAGTCTCAGCAAAATAGGAATAGGAGGGACATTCCTCAACATAATAAAGGACATCTATGCAAAACCAACAGCCAACATTATTCTCAAAATAGACTGAAACCATTTCCCTTGCAAACAGGAACCAAAGATGCCCTGTATCACCACTTCTATTCATACCGTACTGGAAGTCCTAGTCAGGGCAGTAAGGCAAGAAAGGGAAATTAAAGGCATTCAAATTGGTAAGGAAGAAGTCAAACTGTCCCTATTTGCTGATGATACAATCCTGTACCTACAAAATCCAAAAGACTCAGTCAAAAAATTACTGGAACTAGTTGAGAAATTTAGCATAGTGGCAGGATACAAGATCAACATCCAAAAAATCAGTCGGATTACTCTATACCACCAAAGAGATTGCTGAAAAGGAAATAAGGAAATCAATACCATTTACGATAGTTACCAAAAAAATAAAATACTTGGGAATAAATCTTACCAGGGACACAAAAGACCTGTACAAAGAAAACTGTAAAAGACTACTTCAAGAAACCATGAGAGATCTACATAAATGGAAGAACATACCATGCATGGATAGGAAGATTCTACATTGTGAAAATATCAATTCTACCCAAACCAATCTCTACATTTAATGCAATCCTAATCCAGATCCCATCAACATTCTTTAAGGATATGGAAAAACCAATCACTAACTTCATATGGAAAGGAAAGAGACCTCGGATAAGCAAAGCACCACTGAAAAAGAACAAAATAGGAAATTTCACACTGCCGGATCTCAAAACCTACTATACAGCCACAGCAGTCAAAACTGCCTGGTACTGGTATAATGACAGACACATAGACTGACTGAATAGAATTAAGAACCCAGAAATAGAGCCACTGACCTATGTTCAGCTGATCTTTGATAAAAAGCTGAAAGCCATTACATGGGGAAGAGAATGTCTGTTTAACAAATGGTGCTGGCAAAACTGGATTATCTGTTTGCAGAAAAATGAAACAAGATCTTATCTCACACCACACACAAAAACTAACTCCAGATGGACTAAAGACTTAAATGTGAAACTTAAAACTATATAGTTCCTCAAGGAAAAGCTCGGGGCAAATTTGGGGTTCCTAATATATGGCATATATAGACTATCAAGCAAAACCCAAAATGCGCAAACAGCAGAAGAGAAACCAGATGATTGGGACCCTTCTAAAAATTAAATTTTTTATGTGCTTCCAAAGACTTCTCCAAAAGAGTCAAAAGAGAACCTAAAGATTGGGAAAAAATATTGGGCAACAACATGTCTGACAAGGGACTTAGGTCTAAAATTTATAAAAAACTCCAACACCTCAGCAACAAAAAGACAAATAATCTAATTAAAAAATGGTCAGGAGACATGAACAGATACTTCACCAAAGAGGATATTAAGGAGGCCAATAAACACATGAAGAAATGCTCACCATCATTAGCAATTAGAGAGATGCAAATCAAAACAATGAGATACCAACTTGCCCCAGCACTAATGGCAAAGTCCAACAAGACAGAAAATAACAAATGCTGGCGAGGATGTGGAGAGACTGGGACTCTCATATACTGCTGGCGGGACTGTCAAATGATACAACCACTGTGGAAAGCAATATGGTAATTCCTTAAAAAGTTAGAATTAGAAATGCCATTTGACCCAGCACTGTTTACCACAGCAAAAAGACGCAAACAACCTAGGTACCCATCCACACAATGAAATACTATGCAACCCTAAAGAATAACGTAGAACCTGCAAAACACTGAATAATGTGGATGAACTTAGAGGACATTATGCTGAGTGAAATAAATCAATCACAGAAGGACAAATATTGTATTAGTCTGTTACTGTAAAAAGTCAAGGAAGAAAATATGGAAGAAAATTTTCTTTGTTGGTTACCAGGGGTGGGAGGAGAGGGGAGAGAATACTGTTAGATAGGTAGAGACAAGTATTGATTTGGGTAAAAGGAAGGGCAATGTGCCAAATATGATTGATCAACATGGTGGCACTGATGAACAAAGATGAACCCCTCTGCATATGCAATACTGTGTTGTCAGTGAAGGCAAACAATCATCTACAGGTGGACAGTGACTGGGATCTCAAAAGCTTGCAAGTGGCCATCTAGATGTAACGACGGGTCTCTCCTCATCCAGGGCAAAGAAGAATGAAGATGCATGGAAACAATAAATCTGAGCGACTCGTAAACCATGTGATCTTCAGTCTATACAACTATGAGATCAGAAGAACTAGATGGTGCCTGGCTACCACTGTCAACTATTCAGAGGGGAAGCTATGTAGGAGATCCCGGACAGAGTGGGAGAACAATATGGAACAAAACTCAAAATCATTTAAAAAATAAAAAGGGGAGGGGGAGACACCAGGTTTGCTGGTCTGACAGAGCCTGATGGAACCCCTGAGACTAGGGCCCATAGCTGCCCTTCAGGTCTGGAATTGAACTTACTCCTCTAGCTTCCAGCCAAACAAAAGATAGCCACATAAACCGAACATTTACATTGGGTAGATACACTGCTTGGAGAGATCAATCATGGAAGAATAGATGGGTTGTGCATGCATAGGGGACAGCTCTGGGGGCAGGAGTGCATAGGAGGAAAGACAAAAGGAAGAGGTAACTATGGGGAAGTGGGAAGAGAGCTGTTGCATTGTGGGCAATTGTAGTCAATGTCATGAAACAAAGTGCATGTGAGGTGCTGTATGGAAACTGAAACTGAATTAGCTCTGTAAACTTTCACCCAAATCACAATAAAAATTAAGGGGGAAAAAAAAAAGAGGGGGGTGGCTAGGGAGAGATGGAAGTATTGGATGGTAGGTGGGTGGAAGGCAGCCAGAATTTATGCTTCTGATTTGGGCCTAAGGCTGTCAGGATTCCTTGACAGGTAATATGCACCACTCCTTCTTCCAGTGTGACTGACAGAGTACGGTGCCAATTACACATCAGGGGTTCAGGATGTAAGTAAGGGGGCCCCACTTGACATCCGCACCATGCTACACCACAAGTGTCCAGTAAGACGCTAGATCCTGAATTTCATCAGAACCTTCTGTTTGTAGTCAAAGGGTCTGGAAGTATAAACATGCCTTATAGGGTAAAGGATAAAGCTAGGCAGGAGAATGGCATTCTAGCCTAAGTGACTTAGAGTATGACAAGCTGGCCCTCTATGGGCCACATATATTCTGCAATTTGAAATACTGAAAAGATATTGAAGATTCACAGCAGTAATTAGGGAACTGCCCTATAGACTCATAGAATGCAGTGCATTCATCTCTCCCAAGAAGATCAGCGCCCCCTTGGAGATCTCTCTCTCTATATATTTTAATGCAAGTTTCAACCTTTGGTATCTTCTATCCTTATCATCCATCCTTAAAACCCCAGAGGTATGAGTCTGGCATGGCTTATATTTCTATGCTTCCTGTATGCTCTCCTCCACAAACCAAACATTCCAGGAGGTCACTTATGAATCAAGCATTAATAGCTAAGTTAGATGAGAAAAGCTGCGCAGATCTCTCTAGCCCCATACACCTAGGACTCCAACTGGGAAATGGTGAATCTTATGGATCTAAGCAGGCCATTCCTAAAGAGCAGTTATGGTGTAAAAGAGAAAGTCAAGATCTAGGTTCTTTCTTGGAAACAATCAACGACCAATGAAGTTTTAATATATTAAAAGGCAGTTAACCTGTGGAGGTGCTTCAAAGGCAGGGTACACAGCAATCTCTGGCAAGTTTCTGTTGTTGATGTATTTATAACAATTCCAAACACAGTTTATTAGATAAGCCTGAAAGAGTAAAAACAGCATTTTATATACGCTAGAAATTTAAAAGACTACTTGCTTGGTCTGTAGAACCCTAAAGTTAAGGTAATTTATGTTTTCCTAACATCTTCTCTATGGAGATGGAAACTGACATCCATCTGGACTTAGCAAAGGACAGGCCTTTGTTTCTGAGCCTTAGAAATTAGGCATTGTCATTCTAGATCATGAACCACGTCCAAAAACATAATAATGTTCCTTATAGCTAGGAAGGCTCTTGAAACTCCAACCACCCCCTGGTAGTAAGAGGAAGGGACTATCTCTAGAAGTGATATGCTATTGGGCTGGAGTAAACACTATGACCATAAACTGTCAATCTACTACAACCCACCAAGAGGATAAAGGAGGCAAAAGATTTAGATAGGCAGTGTCACAACCTAACTGCCCCCACCCCTGCCAAAAGATTTAGTTATCAACTTACCTTAAAGATAATGAATAAGACAAAGAATGCAAGAACAATGAACAGGAGGCAACTGGAATCTAATGCCAGGAGGTCATCTTTGTAGGGAAAATCAGGCTATTGAAAAACAGACACGTATATTTATAATTCAGTGATGTTGTTGTTGTTGTTGTTATGTGCCATCGAGTCGGCCCCAACTCATAGCGACCCCTCCTTGGGTTTCCAAGGCAGTATCACTACAGAAGTAGGATTGCCCAACCTTCCTTCCGAGGAGTGGCTGGTGAGTTTGAACTGCCAGCCTTCTGGTTAGCAGTCAAGTGCTTTAGCCACTATGCTACCAGAGCTCCTAAAAATGTAATTTGTGGTAACTAAAGAGCATACTAAGAATACAAACAAAGGGACTGAAGTCAGAATTGATACTCTAATACAAAACTATAGCGTTCAACACTAAGTGCTTTTATGTCTAATCACCATTAATGCTATTTTATTAGTCAAAATACACTTGTTTGAATGCCCAGATCACTCCTAAAAGTTTAAACTAAGTCATTTTCTCTCTACTTTTCACTATTTTACATTTTTCTGGCCTTAAGAAAAATGCTACCTCCTGTACAAGACCCTCAATTTGACCCTGGGTCACTGAGTCATTAATTTAGAAGGTGCTGAGATTTATGTAAATTACACTGGCCAATTAGTCCTTCATGGGGAAAAATAATTTTTCAAAAAGCCAGTATGTAGGCACATGTGAAAAAGGACGCATACTAATGGTTATAAAACCCGGCAAGATTACATGATTTGCTGCAGACACAGTATCTTCAACTGAGAACGATCAGCTATATTCAGTCAGATATTTAGTTAGCATTTTCCATGTGCAAGCTCAGGAAGAAGGGTATTTGTCAACTCAAGGGCTCTAATAATTTCACTTTCACAAGCAGCACAAGCACAGAAGTCTCAAATGACTGAAGAAAAGAAAAAGAAAAAAGACCCATACCCCAAACCAAAAACCCTAGCTAAGTGTCTCACTGGGACAAAGATTCTTCCTTAAAGCCTTGATCAGTAATTAAAAGGAAAAAAAAAAAAAAAAAAGGATCAGCTCAAAGCAGAAGACTACACTAAGGATTCTAGAATTATTCTGAAGGCAGTGAGACATTACTTGCCAGTTTCAGCCAGAGATGTCATGGTTGCAAAGAGCAGTGCTTAGGAAGCTTCTGACTGTAGCTGACCAGGCAGCAGGCCTTGCACTCAGCTTCCTCTCTTGACTCATCGTGTGCAGCTTCCCCTCACTCTGTATAACAGCCATCATAGCCATCCTTTACTGCCCAGACTATACCATGCCCCTAGCTGCCTCAGGGTCCTTTTTACCTGGAACATGTTCTTCTGTACTTCCCTTAATTCCTATTCATCTTTCTGAGTACAATCCAAATCTCACATCCTAGCCCACATCTGGTAACCCTTGCGATAGCCACACAACATAGCAGCAAAGGCACTTTCCCTTACCAGCATTCATCACAATTACTCAGAGTAGTTATGACTCAGAACTGACTTGACAGTAATGGGTTTGATTTTGGTTTGAAGTCAGATTCAGAATTATAATTTAATTATTTTACTTAGAGTAAATACTTCACTTCAAGTTTTACTAGCATACACACTTACTAATTGATCCAGATATTCTTTGATTCTTGGCAAATAAGTAAGAGAGCTGATAGCAACCAGGCAACTGAGAACGAAGTCAAAAAGGCGGTAACAAAAGAATGGAATCAGCCAACCCACTTGATACTGTAGAAAAAAATAACAACAACATTATATTACATACATGAAATTACTAAGTACCATTCAGTAAAACTCAAACACTAAAAGCTGAAAATATGGGATACTTACAGAAATTGCTCCATATACCAGCATTGAACTGATTATAAACATAAGAACAGAGACGGCAAAAAGAACACAGGCATTATCTAAGAAAACAAAAACAAAAATCTAATTAAGCTACATACACAAAAAGAAAAATTCTTCTTGACAATATTTAAAAGCTAGCTTCTTAAAAATGTTCTAAGGCCACGAGAGCATGGGGATAAAAAAAAAACAAAACCCAATTCTCTAAGTATTAGCTTTAAGTAATACACCATCAGAAATTCAAGCAAAGCTCTTATTTTTTAAATTGCTACAACAATTCACTGACACTTATTTAAGAAAGCATATGAGCCAGGTTCTCTGCTACAGAGACAGGTCTCCCCTGTTCTTAAAAGTCTAAGACTCTACAGACGTGCAAACAGATGATTACAATCCAATGTGGTAAGTGCCAAAAAGAGAGAAATCATTAACACTGCCTGGAGAATCAGGGAAAAAAAAAAAAAAAAAAAAGATACTGAGCTGGATCTTGTGAGATAAACAGAGTTTAAGTGGAGGAGAGGCTGGTATTTGCTTAAGCCAGGTATCCTAAAGAATGCTATATATAGATGCCACCTCTTGCCAGATAAAATACATCTTGGTCTTGAAATTCAAGGTTCTCCATAATCCCATCTCAACGCCTTCTCCAACACCCAGAAAGTAACATTCAACTCATTTCTCCATATTCCTTCACCATGGCTTCTCTGCTAAACGGCTCTATTTTCTTCTTCATTCCTCTCAACTCTTTCTTAGGTTGTTCTATTTCTCCCTTTTAATCTATGCTCACTAATTTTCTTACAAAACACTCTAGTAACCGCAAACGATACTGAACCACATTTGATTTGTTGAGTTTCTGAGCACATACTGATAGTTGATTCTGTGACTCTGCACATATGCTAAGAACCTGAAGGGCATTACTAAGGATAAATGATTAGAAGTAACTGAATATTCACAGCACTATCTCATCACTGGTCAACACAATGTCAGTATTTGGCACTAAACTAAGAATAACTCTCTTAAATTTTCTTACAGGAGATACAGAAGCTAGTTATTAAGGATGTAAAGGACTGCCTTGCTGCAGTATATGCAATGCCACTTAGGGAGAAGAATTCATGCCACCATCATGTAAGCCATCTCCTTGGCAGTATGTGAGTTCTGCGAGACTTTAAAGTGAAATAAGGAACCCTAAGACAGAAGGGAAAGTACTGAGTGGAGGAGGAGGAACTGATGTTAGAGATAATGGAGTGGTACAGCAGTTTGGAAAACTTGGACATTGGAACATCTTTAACTTCTGCCTCAAAGGAACAAGCCTTTTGCTGATTGTTCTAAAAGAAATTACTTGAACACATGGTAAGGGAAAATATTGACATTAGCAAGTTAATTGAAATTTTGAAAATATCAAAAGATGCCTAACAACTGACAGAAGCTAAAGTGTAATGTATTGTTCCTTTTGGTTTTTAAATAAAAATAAATTTAAAAATAAATAAAAATAAATGCCAAAAGGCGTGTTTCTATTATGTTTGAAAACAAAATTAAAGAATTACATTATATAAATCAGAAGACTCTGCATTTAAATTGCTTATGAAGAGTCTAAGGCATGAATTTCTGTTCAAATATTAAATTTCCAATGTAATTTATAATACAAAACTCAACTAGAATATTTTTACATCTGTATTTTAGGGAAAGATAAATTATAATTAAAAAAAATGTTATCAAGGAAGATTTAAAAACACAATTAATGTGAATGGTCTAGGATTAGTCTATATTGAACCCCACCATCAAGTCTTCTTCATCTAAATAAGAATGTATCAAGAATTGTGACCATGAGCAAAAGGTATTACCAAGTATTCAAACAACTCCTATTTGCTATTTTAGTGTAATAGCTTATTTGACCCACAAGCAAATCACTCATCTTCAACAACTGATGTAATGACCCCTTATTGTCAACTGATGCTCAAAGACTTCTTTTGTAAATTCTCCTCCTGGTACCTGACAGGTAATCTATAGATACTTCTCTAAAAACTTACATTTTCTGCATAGAAACCCTCTATTGTAATCCTCTGAAAAACTCAATTTAACTATTTCCCTGCCCTTAGTAAATGGATTAACTTAAGCAAGATTTAATCAATTAAGCTCTAAATGTACAGTTTTATACACATACACAAATTAGCAGTGGACATTTTCTTTACAACTGAACATACCAGCCATCCTCTCAGATGAATAGTAATTACCAATGACTTCATACTGAATGTTGACAGTTGGCAATGAGTTTGGATGAGTCACCTCCACAGTCAGCAAAATTGCCATCAATAGGTTTACCACCTGTGAAAGATTACATTTTATTGAATACATTAATCATAAATCAGGAAGCAGTCTTTAGGATAGTTTTTAGACGTTTTCTCATATTTAAATACATTTCACTTGAAGAAATAGATATAAAACAGTGGTGGACTACCTGAGAGAAAGAACAATACACAATTACCATTATGAGAATAGCTTAAATATAAGTGTTTCACTTAGCAACAAAGAACCTAATTAAAAAATGGGCAGAAGATATGAACAGACACTTTCACCAGACATTTAACAAACATGAAGAAATGCTCAGGACCATCATCCATTAACCCACTGCCATCCAGTCAGATCCGACTCATAGCAACCCCTCCTTGGGTTTCCGAGGCAGTATTACTATGGAAGTAGATAGCCCAACCTTCCTTCTGAGGAGTGGCCAGTGGGTTTGAACTGCCTGCCTTCTGGTTAGCAGTCAAATGCCTTAGGCACTATGCTACCAGAGTTCCCCATCATCCATTGTTGTTGTGTGCCATCGAGTCGGACATCATCCATTAGAGACATGTAAATCAAAACAATGAGATTATCATCTCACCCCAGCACAAATATCAAAGTTCAAAACAAACCAGAAAACAACAAATGCTGGCGAGGATGGGAGAGACTGGAATTCTACATACTGCTGGAAGGACTGTAAAATGGTGCAACCACTGTAAAAAATGGCCAGGGCTTCCTTAAAAAGCTGGAAATAGAAATACCACATGAACCAGCAATCCCACTATTAGGTATGTATCCTAGAGAAATAGCCATGACATGAACAGATACATGCACACCCTTGTTTATCACAGCACTATTCACAAAAGCAAAAAGATGGAAACAACGGAAATGCCCATCAACAGAGGAATGGATCAATAAACTATGGTAAATACACATAATGGAATGCTATGTAACATTAACGAATAATGATAAATCTGCAAAACATCTCATAACATGGGAGAACTTAGAGGCCATTATGCTGAGTGAAGTCAGTCAATCACAAAACAACCAATATTGTATAAGACCATTAATGTAAAAAGTCAAGAAAAGGGTTTCACAAAAAAGAAATATTCTTTGATGGTTACCAGGGGTGGGCAGGAAAGAGAGGGTAAACCACTAACTAGGGAGTAGACACGCATTAACTTGGGTGAAGGAAAAATAATAAAATAAATTTTCATAAACTTAATTTTAACCCTTTTAGAAACAAGGTAGTTAATTCTGTGTCAACACAAACAACAGAATAAAATGGCACAAGCATTAAAAGTAAGGGGTCATTACAAATTGTTCATGTTTAGAGTAACATTTATTCATATGCTTATCTCAGGATTTCTAGGTTTGAGGAAACCACAGTTTATCCAATATATTTATCAATCAGAGCCTGAAACCCCTCCACAGTACTCCCCCATGCAGGATATAAGATAAAAATACCCTTTTTCACACTAGACTCAAATATTCTGAAGAGTTTTCAAGATTTCACCTATCTCCTTAACTTTCACTTATTGGTCTTCACTCTATCTTTTGAGATGATAAAGCAGAAGCCTGCTCCCTTTTCCAAATAAGTGCTCCACTAAATGCCTGAGGGCAGCTGCCATGTATCTGCAAATATTGTCTTTGCAAGAATACATATCCAGGTCCTTAAACCGTTCCTCTAACTACCATGTTTTCTAGCTACTTCACTATTTCCTTTTTGCTCTTCTCTATACTCATGCTTCAAATTTGATCGATATTCTATTTAAATTATCGTTATGTGCCGTCAAGTCAATTCTGATTTATGTAACCTCATGTGTGCTAAGTAGAACTACAGGGTCCTCAATACCTCTGGGTGGATTCTATGAACCACCAACCTTTTGGATAGTAGTCAAGTGCTTAACCATTTACACCACCCAGGGACTCTGCGACTGAAATTAGGGTAAGAATTTATTATAATACTATGTAAGATAGGTAAGATCCAGCCTGTTCAGAATACATAAGGATTTCAGTTCTCATATTCAAACTAACAAATTTCAAATAATGCAGCCTGAACTTGCACTGGCTTTTTAACTTGTTTGGATGGCATATGAGTAGCTCCCTAAACTTCTATTCTTTTCCACACTTGAGTCTGCTAAGCTATCACTTGTACCAGGTACAGTTAAGATCCAGAGGTTTAAATATATGCCCTTATACATTCGCAATCAAATTTAATTACATTCTTCCTGTCAAGATTTTCTGGATCTGGATTTTTACATCCTCCAGGGTGATTCTCTTCCTCAATTTCCTGCATTTGAAAATCTGACCAGCATGTAATCATTTAGATGGATGAAATCCATCTAAATCAGTGGTAAAAGAGAGTAAGACTAAGGATAAAGTTGCAGAGTCTGTCTTCTTCCCATTAATCAGCAATCTCTAAATATAATTCTATTCTTCATTTAGTCTACAGGAACATCTTGAGACTTTGTCAAACTTAATTGCTCAAACCTCATCTTAACATCTGATGAATTTTCTTACTCCATTAGGGTTATAACTCCATTAAAAAAGGAAGTCAATCATGTCTGTAGTTATTAGAAGGAACCCTGATGGTGCAGTGGGATTAAGTACTTAGCTGCTAACCAAAAGGTTGGCAGATGGAACCCACCAGGTGCTCCACAAGAGAAAGATGAGATAGTCTGCTTCTGTAAAGATCATAGCCTCAGAAACCCTATGGAGCAGTTCTACTCTGTCCTGAAGGGTCACTGGAAGTTGGAATTGGCTCAGTGGCAACAGGTTTGGGTATTGGGTTACAGCTGCTGGCGAACCCCTGCAGTATTCCTGGAGGTATTCACTTCTTTTAAGTGCTCATCAACAGTCCTTTAAATGACTCAACGGACAAATCTTACCAAACAATGGAATTAGACTACCATATCCAAGGTTCACAGAATTTGCACCCCTTTGTCAAAATCTGAAATTTTGTATTTTCAAGGGATGTTAGAACCCCATTAGTAGTAATTTTAAATAAATAAATAACCTATAACATGTGCTAAAGAGCTTTGGTGGTGTAGTGCCTAAGGCCTCTGACTGCTAACCATGTCACATATTAAAGGTGAGATGGACTATACGGAGTTGCCAACCATTCTGAGACATAATCGAGCTTTAAGTCCTTTACTTCCAGGGTCGAGAGGTAGCTCATGCCAGAAAGGATTCTCAACCCAGAAGAGCAGCTTCACAGGGTTTATAAAGACAAAACCCATAAGCGGGCGGGGTGTAATATTGAATGTCTCTTTTCTATCCTTTGCAAGCAATCTTTTACAGAAGCAGAAAGCAACGTTAAACTTAATTTAGCAAATAACACCTGTAAAGAAACTCCTCGGCATTGTGGTTAGGCCTCATCCGCTCAGGGAGCTTCAACTAGGACTCAGCCTTTGCAAGCAGACTTTTACAGAAGCTAAAAAAGCACTATACTTGCTCTAGCAAGTCACACCTATAGGCAACACTTGGTATCGTGGTCTGTCTCTGTGGTTGGCATAGGAGATTAACTAGGTCTCCATGTTCTGCCAGAACGGATGGGGTAGTCTAGGCCTGCAGCCTTTCAGGTGTAACAGGATGGGGTGCTCTAGATCTGTTGTTGTTTGCCATCGAGTCAGCTTATAAGCACCCCTAGATAACTTCAAGAGGAAGAAGAGGGCTTCCAAAAGAAGGCTGTGAAATATTTATACTTTATTTTCCAAATAAGCATGTTCAGTGGTGTGCCCTTTTTCTTTCATTGTTCACAGGCATGGCCCTTTATCCTTTAACTACTAAGAGGACATGCAATTAGCAATCACATTGGCAAGATGTATCCCCAATTAATAGTTATACTGACTAGTAGAAGCAGTGGCATAGTGGTTAAATCATTTGTCTGCTAACCAAAAGGTTGGCAGTTCAAACCCACCAGCCACTCACAGAACAATGAGGCAATCTACTTACTTAGTAACCCTACAGGTCCAGTCTACTCTTCCTAAAGGGTAGCTGTGAGTGAGAATTTGACTCAATGGCAATGACTTTGGTTTTAAGGCACTCTGGTGGCACTGTGGTTAGGGCACTGGGCGCTAACCAAAGATTGGAGGTTTGAACCCACCAGCCACTCTGTGGAAGAAATCAAGGCAGTCTACTTCCATAAGATTTATAGCCTTGGAAACCCTATGGGGGTCATTATGAGTCAGAATGGACTCGATGGCAGTGGGTGGGTGGGTGGTGAGTAAAAGACACTGGATGAAAACAGTGAATGGTGTGACAGAAGCAGCTCTGGATTGTTGACTGGCCTGAGGGCACAGCTGTTTTGATATTTGCAAGTGGCATTCTGATTGGGCAGCAATCTGATAATTGGCTCCACTTGCTGAAGAGCAGTACCGGCAATCATACTGGTGGGTGGAGGCCAGAAAACAATCGTGCCCAAACTACCCAGGCACATTTGCACCTCCTGCAGCTCCATCCACTATTAAGGGCCACTACCTGCTTCTGTACCAATGGGTCAACCACAGATGGTAGCCATTACCAGCCCAACCTGCCATTAACTGCTCTATATGAACAGCTAACAGAGATCTGTGCGCACATTCCCATCCTTGATCAAACCCACCAAAAGACAGGTGGTGAGTGCCTGTTGTTGTTGTTATGTTGAGATGGAACCGACTCACAGTGACCCCTGACCCCTCCTTGCGTTGCTGAGGCAGTATCACTACGGAAGTAGATTGCCCAGTCTTCCTTCTGAGGAGTGGCTGTTGGGTTTGAATTGCCAGCCTTCTGGTTAGCAGTCAAGTGCCTTAGGCACTATGCTACCAAACTAGCGAATAGAGTACACAAGCCCTGCTCACTTGAATATATCAAACACAATAAAGGATGTATTTTAAACAACAACAACAACAACAACAACATCTGGGTGAATCACACCAACATACAGTCACCAATTGAATACACAAAGAAAGTAACCCGGACAGAAGAGCAGTCAGCCCCAGGCTTACACGTGAGGAGAGACAACACAGGGACGCCAGAGTAGCAGGTGGGAAGAGCAGGGA